CCAGGTGCTAGTAACCAAGGATGCTGATAGAGAGAAAATAGTTGCTAAAGGATACAATGTTGTCAGACTAATGCGTCGAGAATGACAACCTACTGGAGCATCCCAATCAAACCTAAGGAAGAACCTCATTAATCATAAGCAATTTGAAGATAAATTCAAGCGTTTAAAGGAAGTAATTAGAGCTATGAAAAGTGTTAATGCCTCCCACAAAGAACCAGAAGAGAGATAACTCAACTTGGTCCTTGATTTGGTCATCCCACATGAATTTAGGGTGCCTAATTTTGAGAAATATGATGGCACCAGTTGTCCCCTAATTCACCTGAAAATGTTTTGTAGAAAGATGAAAGGGTATTTAAATGATGATAAGTTGCTGATTCATTACTTCCATGATAGTCTTACTGGACCAGTTGTAGTATGGTATAACCTTTTGAACAGAGAGCAGATCAAGATGTGGGTCGATCTAGTTGATGTTTTTAGGGTAATATCGATATGTTAAAGGCTTAGTCCTAAAACGTTAAGATCTCCAAAGAATAAGGATAAAAGCTACTGAAAACTTTAAAGAATATGCCCTAAGATGGAGAGGGGTGGTAGAACAAGTTCAACCTTCCATGTTTAAAGAATAAATATCATAAATGTTTCATAATTGTCTTCCAACTCCTTCGAGTTAATGCTGGCAAATTCAACAAAAGACTTCAAGGATCTTGTGACAAATGAGGAGTTGATTAAAAATGCAATCAGTAAAAGAAACTTGAAAGATAATTCCAAAAGCCCAACTGATCAAAAAGCAAAAGTTGACGAGGTGAATGAATGTCATGTCTAGAGCCCCTACAGCCGTAAAAGAAAATGAGCAGTTAGTCGTTCGAACCGACCAAAGAAAGTCTCGCGATCAAGAAGTACTTTGAAGGTGTTCGAAACTTCTATCTCAAATTTGTACCCCCATTTGATTAAAGGTTAATACCTCACACCGAGGCCAATGAAAGTGTCACCAAACCCTTCTGTCCACGGCTATGATCAAGATAGCGACTGTGATTTCCACTTGGGGGCATCTAGGCATTCTACAAGAAATTTTAGGCCGCTGTTAAAGGATATAGAAATGCTTGCTGAAAATGGAATATTGACACAATAATTGGTGGGGCAGTGGATGATGAACTCGAGTGGTACATCAAAGCACAATATGTAGTATCTGATCGAGTCAAGTGTCTCTGCATTAGATGAATAATATAGGATATCCTAATTATGAAGAGATCATTTCATCCATCGTGAAGCTTTATTTCATTTGCATGTCTTGTTTGAGTTTGATTTTGTTCTTTCTTTCTTTATTTACCTAAATATTTTGTAATAATGTTTGGTGATTGAATTTATGCTAATTTTTAAGGTTATGATCAATGAATCAAAATCTGTTAGTTCATTGAGTATCAAATGAATTAAAGATTCTTTTAATTTTTCAAGAATTATAGATCTTTGGCAAGTGACAAAATTAGACCTTTCATATCTCATCAAAAGCCAAAAGCACAGTTACTCGATTTTTTTACCTTAAAATAATTCATGGTCACTACCAAAACCAAATTTTGACACTACATCTATTTGAGTCACCAAAGTCACACCATTACCTCTCTTTGAGGCACTCAAAATCATTCCCTTACCTCTATTTGAGGCAATAAAGTCACATCATCGTCTTTTCAGACACAACCCTCATTTTTTATACCAATAAAACCTGAAGGTCTTAAGTGCAAAACTTTTATTTGTTTGTGAATTTTTCGGCAAGAAGATGTGAGATGGGGCATCATAGATCAACTTTTTGAAGATAAACTCAAATAATCGGGGCATACTCAAAGCAAGAAGAAGGTGAAATAAAAGGGAATGATTTAAATAATTCTATAATGTATTAATTACATTGTTTTCATATAAATAAAAGTTAATCTTGAATATTCATCGCCTTGAGGATACCACTTTTTTCAAGGACTTTTGTGTGTGAAATGATGAACGTCTTTATTTCAATATCCATTCACAAAAGGATAAAAAGATATATCTTTTATTGTCCCCATTTGAGTCTGATTCAACCCTAACCAAGGATCACCCTCCAAACTAGGGGCAAAGGTGAAGGAAATCTTCTCGTAAGAGTGAAGACCATCAATTCATATCAAGTGAGAAATAACAAGGAACCACAAGTAAGATCAAATGCAAACTGTGGAGATCAAATCCAGCTAAGAATAACTAAAGAAGTTCCAAATACAAGAAATAAAGAGGACAATAATGTGCTCAAATCAATTGAAGTCCTAAAACTCATCCAATAAATTCATATTCAAGATAGAAATAGAAAAAGAAAAAACATAGAGAAAAAAGTGAACGAAAAAAAAGAAAAAATAGAGAAGAAGAAAAAAAGGAGAAAGTAAAAAAAATAGATCAATCACTTCAAGACGAGTGACTCATTGAGCCTTAAGCCATGAGGTTGATCAAGTAAAAATGGTTCAAAGATCCAGATTTAACAAGAAGAGCGAGAAATGTTGAAGATATAGGAAAATGGATATGAATTCTAGGGTGAAAACCCAAAAAATAGGCAGTCTAGAGGGATCCAGAAAAAGAATGAAAATAAAAGATAAGCGGCAAGCAAATTCAAATTTGATAAAATAAGATTGAAGGTATCATAATGAATTGATCCTTTGTACAATCACCTTTAAACACTTGTTGGGGCCTATTATCCCTTTCTTTCATAACTGTAGCCTACATTATATGCCTAAAAAGTTCCTTCTAATCGTACATGGAGTTCTAAGCAGAAGAGACTATCTTCATATTTCATTTCGCCTCTCAGGATTAATTTTTTATTTGCAAAAGGTTTTCTAAAATCTTTAATGCATAATAGGAAAAATGACAAAGGGGGTTCAAGATGTAAAATTTTGAAAGACGTCTTGAAGCGAAAGGAAGATTCGAGTTGAAAACCTGAAAGGACGACTCGAATATTAAATTGAGCAACTACGACATAAGAGGCGGTCTTACAAATCTCTTAATGAAGCACACCACATCACAAATGTGCTTCAGAGAGTTTGGAACCAGTATCTCTAGAAGATGAACATAACAATCACTTCCTCAAGTTAGTGGACACCAAAGAACCAAATATGATGTAATACAAAGGCCAACCTGAGAGACCTTACCTTTCCAGAATCAACCTATACCTCAAATTTTTCATTAATATTGACACTTGTCAAAGGGTTATAATTCTTGAAGAATCGAAAGAGTAATTGATTTGTTTGATACTCAATGAACTATTGTTTTATAATTTGTTTTAATTGCAAGCCCATTGCATGGGACACCAGTTTTTAAAAATGCTTCATCAAACATTTTCACATTTTGAAAAATTTAAAGAGGAAGAAAAACATTTTCAAACAGGATAATCTCTCGAGAATGAATGAGGTTCTTGAAGATGATGAGACTTTTTATGCCTCAAATTAAGAAGTGAGAAACAAATAAAAGCCAAAGCATGAAGAATAAACAGTATAGGAGAAATTAAGACATTCTTCGTTTTCTTTCAAAACAATGAAGTTTGAAAGATCAAAAGACTCAAGAACAAAACTTCTCATACTTTGTTGTGACATCATCAACATCAATAATAGATCATGAAGTAGGCATTCACTTTAATAAGAAGGGCTTGTGATTTTTGATCAATGATGCAAGACTGAGACCAGTCAATGATGAAATTTTGACACTCAAATAGGGATTAGTCATGAAAGTATCCACATTGGGGCATGACCAAAGACCCATATCATGTTGAGATAACAAGGTTTAGCCCGAAAAGTCATCAAGAATGAGCCTCACAAATTTGAGTGTCAGGGGCAGAACATGAATTTGAGAAGAGCTTACCATGTAGAGCAAACCATTCAAGCATCAATTAATAGTAAAGTCCTAGAAAAACAAATTTGATAGCGTAATTGAGTCAAGGATAGAAAGGGGCATCATGATCTTCCAATGAAAATAGAAGATTCATGATGTCAAAATCCCAACAAGTGAAACCTCAAATACAGGGAATAATGTTTAAAGAGGTAGAACCTGAAGAACAGAGGGGCTCAATCCACAAAAGAAGTGTTACTTTGAAGTGGGGCATGTTACCTGGCCATTAAGTTGTTTTCATATAATTTAAAATTGAGATTTTCAGAAAATAAAATTTTTGAAAAGTAAGAAAGCGATTTCCAAAGTTTCTTACGTAGTAAACTATTTCCAAAATTGGTAAGTCCTTCGGGCCATCAGTAAATCTTTCAAGCATGATGATTAAATCCTTCAGGTCATCTGTCAGTCTTTCGAGCAAGATGATAAGTCCTTCGGGCCATCTATAAGACCTTCGGGCAAGACGCTTTCATGTGATAATTTGAAATTTGAGAAATCAATTTTCAAAGTTTCTCATTTAGTATTTTCAAAAAATGAAAATTTTTGAAAAGTAAGAAAGTGATTTCCAAAGTTTCTTACCTAGTAAACTATTACCAAAATTGGTAAGTCCTTCACGCCATCAGTAAGTCTTTCAAGCATCATGATTAAATCCTTCGAGTTATCTGTCAATCTTTCGAGCAAGATGATAAGTCCTCCGGGCCATCTATAAGACCTTCGGGCAAGATGCTTTCATGTGATAATTTGAAAAATGAGAAGGCAATTTTCAAAGTTTCTCATTAGTATTTTCAGAAAATGAAATTTTTGAAAAGCAAGAAAGCAATTTCCAAAGTTTCTTAACTAGTAAACTATTTCCAAAATTGGTAAGTCTTTCAGGCCATCAGTAAGTATTTCGAGAATGATGATTAAATCCTTTGGGTCATTTGTCAGACTCATTTGAGATAATGTCAATATGAAACTGAACAAAAATGTGTTGTCTTTTTTATCTTTTTCCTATTCTTGTTACTATTTATTATTATTACTATTATTATTATTATTATTATTATTATTATTATTTATTTTTATTTTTTATTATAGGCCCATTACAACAAGACCAAGTTGCATCCAATTACAAGAGGCCAACCAACCTAACCACAATCCCAACAAAACCCAAAACCACAAGCATTTGAAACCCTAGGGTTTCCAGCTGCCGCAAGCAATGGTTTCACTAGCGCCGCGTCACTGCCAAAGCCTCCACCGCCAGTGCCACTGTTGCTGAGGTTATCCCCAACTACTTCACCATCGTGATCTACAACAAAACAAGTCAAACAATATCATTTACAGTAAAAAAATCAACCAAAACCCATTAAAATTTTTTAGAATCCTAGAAAATCTAAATCTTTGAATGTGGTTTTAGGGGAAATCATTCCCCTCAGTTCTAGACTCACCAAACACTACCAAATCCATAAAATGGCTGATAAGTTTCAATTAAAAAGGAGGAGAAGTTTCGGTTACAGAGGGAGGGGGAGATCGAGGGGGATTCGAAAAAAACATAAGGGGTTTTTTGGATTCGAAAAAAAAATAGAGAAAAGAAGGAGTTTGAAAAAAAAACAAGAAAAAGATAGGACTTAGCTTGTGTCCTTCACCGGAGATCTGGTGTCCTCACTTCACCAAAGCCAAACCCTTCAAGAATCGAAGGTATTATTTTTGAAATATCTGGATTTGGTGTTCGGGTTTCATTGTTTTGGTGCTCGGTTTGTTTAGGGTTTGGAAATAGAAGTTTTATAGGGCCTAAAGAGAGTCGTCGGCCTCTTGTCGGGTCTAGTTGGGCGTCACCAGAGAAGGCTTTGCCCTCTCATCGAAGAAGATAATGAGAGATGGGGTTGAGCAGTTGAGAATAAAAGAAAATGGGGGCTAGGGTAAATTTTTACCCAAAATACCACATGTATTTCGTTGGAAAAACGGTAGCGTTTAGAGGTTAGGGCAGTATGTCTCTTAGCGCATGGGATACCGCGGGTAAGAGTCCATCCAGTTCTTATTTAATTTGTTTTGGCCCCCTAATCTAGTATTTTAGGTTTCCAAATTTGACCCTTTACTTTGTGTACCTTTCATTTTGGTCCTATGTACCAGCTCATTTTAATTTATGTTTTTTACATTTCGCTTGTAATTTGACCACTTTTTATTTTTGTCCCCAGGTTTATATGTTTCAAGTTCTTTCCTGTTTATGCATTTGACATGTTTTATTTCAAAACTTTCATTTTAATCACATGATTGTTTATGGATAAAACATGATTCTAGTGATGATATGATGTGATCTTTGTGCTTCATAACTAAATATGGATTGGTTTAATTTGTTGTTATAACCCGAAATTTACTTATCATCTAAATTTGGTCACCATTGTATGTTGCTTTGATGTGTATACCTATATTAATTTATAATTTGATAATGATGAACATTTTACATTTAATTTTAATACATAATACATGTTTGGCACTTTCCTACTGCATTAATTTTATAAATACTTCTTTGTCCTTAGCTCTCTTACATTAAATTTAACATAATAGATTATTTAATTCATTTTATAAATACTTCTTTGTCCTTAGCTCTCTTACATTAAATTTAACATAATAGATTATTTAATTCATTACTATGAAATGTACCTGTCAACTTTTATTTTAAGATGTTTGTAGGTATATACATTAATTTCATTAGATAAAGATAAAATATTAATGTATTGCTTAAAGTATGCTCCAAAATATTATACATGTGCAAATGATCACTTATAGATCTAGATTCTTTTATTTATTTATTTGGAATCCTTTAATTAAATTGCATATTAAACTATATGAAACCCTCAAAAGCACGACTTGATTCGAATCGGAATAATTTGATTAAGAGTAATACTATTTCATTTTACGATTATTGTGAAGTGATTGTCTTAATGTATAAGAATGTTACTTCTGATGATTTTAAAATGAAATTGTATCCTGTCAAGTGGAAACCTAAAATTCAACCACACCTAAAATTTGAGAATGAAGGAAAAATAAATGTTCTTCTATTTAAATTCTTCGAGAAAAGATCATTAGAACTTATAAAATGTTTGATCTCGACGTCTTTAAATGATCGAATATCCTTCTTCTTTCTAAAAGGATTGTTAATTCATATTTAATTAATTTCTATTTTATCATCATTTATGCATTCGATTTAATAATAAATTTTAGAAGGAAATAGTAATATTTCTTTATTTCAATTGGAGTAAAAATGATTGCTCTAAGGCATGAGAGGAATTTTCTTCTCGATAGGAAATAATTAAATGTTGTCGTTTTCCGTACTAAAATTCAAGGAATGTGTTTAAAAAGAAGCCTTAAATTTAATTTGTTTTATTTATTTTATTTTATTGTTATTGATGTATTTGAATTTGGAATTAATAATGAACTTTAGAATTGTAATATTTCTTTATTTCAATTGGAGTAGGAATTGATTGTTTTAAGGCATGAGAGATTGATTCTTCTCGATAGGAAATAACTAAATATTATTGTGTTTCGTCCTAAAATTCAAAGAATATTATTTGTATGGGATCTTGAATTAAATTAAATTTGAACTTGTAAGATTCATTGCGAAGACAAGTAATTAATCGACTAGGTACCGATTTAGGGCGTTGTGGGGGTGTTAATTCTTCTCCACGGGTAATCGACTCCCAAACTCAACTTTTTGGTAACGTAAACCGTAAAATTGTTGTTTTAATTAAAATTAATATTTTTATTAAAATGACAACCCTAATCAAGGATTTGTGACGACTCCTCGAACCATGTGTTATTTTAAGAAAATGCCAAACTATTCGAAACGAGATTTTTTTTTAAATCCCATAAAAATTAAATTTATTTTTTAAAAGAAAAATCGTTTCGACAATATTATTGTGTTAATTGCTTTTCTTTACTTGATTAAGTGTCTAACACTATATACTAAGATTTGGAGGGCTCCTCTTGGGTAAAACCATATTTATCCAAGACCAATTTCCTGTAACTTCTGCGGAGGGACTTGAATAATGAAGAAACCCATGTTTGGTACATATGTAATAATAGAAATTAAAAAAAAAATACATGAGTTTGAAAATAATTTATCAAAATATAAATAAAAATTGACACAAATCTAAACTTGATATTAGTAAGATGAGTAAAAACTTAAGTAAAGTAATCCTTATTTATCATTAACCCATTTGTTAGCATTAAGACCTAATATCAAAGAATTATTATTAGAGTTTAATTTCCACCCTAAAATTTATCAAGAAATCTCACGTCATAACTTTATTAGGCATCACAAAGGTATCAATTATTAGGCCCAATTAGGGTACTAATTCGAACCTTTAACTCTTAAGGGTATTTTTTAGTATTTCTAAGACTTGGAACCTTATCCTAGTCTTTAGAAGGGTTGGGGACCTCAAGGGAGTCTAATGGACCCATTTTAACGGAGGTGGCACAAAACAAGCCGATGGAGCTTGAAATAACCCTAAAGTTTTGAAACTCCGAGGCTAATTTTGAACCTCACCGAAATTTTAGGGTAGGTTTCAAAAGCTTCAAGTACCTTTATCGAAATAGTTTCAAAATTGATCCTTAATTTCGAAACTATTGAAAAAATTATCTAAGTTAAATGACCTCAAATTTCACCCAAGACCTTTTAAATGTAAAATAAACGTCAAATATGTATTTTAGCACCTTTAAACATGGATCAAACATTGAAAAAATCATTAAACCATTATTGGGTACCAAGCAACATGCTAAATAACCATAAACACTCGAGCACATACATTAGGCCACCCAAGCGTTACATTAATCTAAAATATGAAGCATTTTAAAGTTAAGAGTGAATTACTTCAATTTTTAAGCAAGAAGAGCCTTTATCCATAATTCCAGTACCTTACCCTTCCCCTTAACGTTGGAGGATTCAACTTGTTTAAGATATCATCTTTACGCTAGAATGAAAAACCAAACTTAGAAACGCAAACAAAAATGAAGAAAGGACAATGTTCGAAGCAACAATGAGCTTATCAGAAAAAAGTTTGGGCATTTTCGTGATTAAAGAGAACCCATGAAGAAGCGGACCTTTTCCCCCTGTTCCATAAGCTTAACCTGGAACAGGGCTGTAAAATAGTTTGCATTAGCTGCAAACATGGCTGATGTTTTGTAAAATATGCTGCTAGTTTTTCATCCTTTTATTGAAAAATTCTGATTGATTTTGTATTTTACATTATTTTTATTTGCCTTCTCTTCATTCTTACAAAATGTATGCCTCATTTGTTGCTAACATCAAGGCACGCCCTTGATCGCTTTCTCCAAAATATTTCTATGGTGATCGATTTATGAAAGAAGCGATTTCTGATATACAAATCAAGGAAAGGAACCAAAATCAAAACGATGGTGCTGTTTGAAGACAACTATAGGGCTCTTAACACTGTGCCCTTTGTTGCTCCTCCACTCAAGTGTAGCTGATAGGATATCTGTCCCATTCTTCATCGAACCGCCCTTCACCGAAACTTTGAAAGATTTCTTTTGGTGTTTCCTTTTAAATTTCATTGTTTTTGGAATAACTGCAATGGAAAGTTCCTTGGGAGCTGTCACTTTTGCCTTGATCTCAAGATTCTCACCTCCAACATTGGTTACAGTCCTGTAAAACACAGCTGAAATTCTCGATTCTGTACCGCTGAGATGGATGTGCATGGAAGGGTAGTTAAGCCCGTCGAAGCCTAATGCAGGTTTAAAACTGGAACAGTTGTATTTGTGCTTGCCTCGGATGAGTAGGCCAATGGTCGTTCTATTGTACCCTTCTTTGCAAAGGAAACTTATGTAGGAACTCTCGTTAATGTCATAGATCAGTCCAGGGTTTACAGCTCTGGTTGGATTTATCTGACCCGATCCCGAGCTTAGTTCTTCGAACTCGTCTTTGATTTTCATCGGTGTTGCTGAAGCAAGAAAATGGTATGGTGATTGAATTAGGAAGTAAAATTTGGATCATCTATCTATTTGCTTGGTGTGATGTGGAAGTCTTACCGGTAGTCATGAGAGCCGACTTGATTGCAGCCGGCGACCAGTCCGGGTGGAAAGACTTCACATACGCTGCAGCAGCTGAAGCATGGGGGCAAGACATAGATGTGCCGGACATAATGTTGAATGCCGAATAGCGTCGGTCAGTTGGATCGCCGGTTATCGAGGTCAGTTGCGTGTAGGCACCCAGTATGTTTAGTCCTGGAGCAGTAACATCGGGCTGGCCATGGGAAAATTTTGAGTTAAAACCAAAATGAAGGGAAATAAACAACAAAGAGAGGCGAGAAGATTGATTTATTGACCTTGAGAATGTTTCTGTTTGTTAACTGGGGCCCTCTAGAAGAGAAAGAAGCCACAAAGGGAGCATCCATATGAACTGTTCTAGTCTTATATATGACAGCTTCAGGGTTCCTGGCATCATTGAATGCATTTCACCACCATCCGTAAGCTTTTTCATTGTTGAATCAAAGATTCCGAAAGTGGAAAAAAGAAGGCTTACTTTGTGGAGTTAATATATCGATCGAGCTTATCGCCGTTCTTGCTACGGACCACAACAGTTGCAGGTATAAGAGCGAGGGAATAATGGTCTGTTAGTTCATCAATGGCCATTATGGTTCCTGCCCCATCCAGCATCCTGATACTATCATCCTGACCGGAAACCCCTAGGCAATAAACGATCTTCCCCTTCACCTTGTCCTTGTCCAGTGTTCCGGAATCGCAAGCACTTTAATCGGTTTTAAACGCAATAAATCAGAGGTCTCATGCGAAAAGAGAAACATATTTGTTAAATTTACCTGCTGCTAATATATACCTGATATTTCCATAGTAAAAATCTCCAGTAACATTGGTTGCATGTGCTCCATCTGTGAAAGGGTACATCTTGTTTTTCATTGAAAATGTGTTGATTCCAAAGCCCTGTGTTTTGACGTATGAGACCAGATTTAGTTCGATTATATGTGAGTGCAGATATTTACAAGAAAGAACTGAAAGCGTACAGAAGTTATTGTGCCATCGCCGAGCTTAATAGTTGAGATGAATTGCCTATCGATGCTGCTTGCTGCAACAGTCAAAATCCATGGTGCGACGTTTATAACCGTTTCAAGCGTCGGACCACCGTTTCCTCCGGCACAAGATGTCAAGATCCCTTTTCTCATAGCATGAAAAGCTCCTATAGCTACAGAGTCATTGAAATAGCCCGTGGAGTCACCTCCTAATGAAAGGGATATCAAGTCCACTCCATCGGCAATGGCATCGTCAAACGCAGCCAGTACATCCATGTCGCTACATCCCTCGCTCCAGCAAACTTTGTACATGGCTATACGTGCAGATGGCACTCCACCTCGAGCCGTTCCTTTGGCTATGCCATTTAAGCTGGAGCCCTTCACAGGTATGCCGGCAGCAGTGGAGGCGGTATGAGTGCCATGGCCGTCAGTGTCAACCGGAGTCGGTTCATCAGGACCACCACTAAAGTCTTCTAGATGATAATATCTTGCACCAATGACTTTGCTGCTCATGTTGAAAAGCTTGAACATCAGAATTTGGAGTATTTTAGCATCAATAGAATATGTAATTCTCGGTGTTTTTAGAGAAATTACTTGTTGCAACCAGTGAAGTTGGCTCCTTTATCACATTTACCCTTCCATGTAGCTGGTGGAGGTCCATAACCTGCATCGTTAAAACTGGGAGATTCCGGCCAAATACCTAACGACATTATGATTAAACCGTGCATCATTACCTCGGAATAAGATTATTCTAATATTTCCGAAAAAGGAAAATAAAAGATAACCAAATTTACCAGTGTCCATTAAACCAACTATGATATTGCTTTCAACACTGCCGTGGATGTTGTTTGAACTTTCAGTCACTCCCAGAAAATCCCATGATCTCGTTGTAAGAAGTTTGCGCTTTGTGTTTTCAAATACTGATGCCACTCCGTCTTCCTCTGCAAAACAATTTGATTATTCATTAACAAATGAAATAATAATAAACATACATACATACATGCATGCATACATACATACCTGATAGTCTCTTTGCTTCATCCGGTAAAAGCCATGCCGCAAAACCATTGATGCTTTTTCGATAGCTATATATTTTGGATTCTCTTGCTAAATCCTCACTACAAGAACAATACCATCCCAATGAGATAATTCATCAGTATAAACAAAAACTTAATCTGCAGACATATGTATTACTCTCCAACTGCTTTAAGCAGCAGGTTATGATGTTCATCCATGGCCGATATCCTGGCTCCATTTTCTGGCACTTCTCCCATGTATACAATATATGGCTGTCATCAAACAGTACACGTATTAACATCAAAAAGGAAATCAGCAAGGGATTATATAAAATATATATATACCTTTCGTTCATTTTCTGTTGATCCTCCAACACAGTTGGCTGTTGCAAGACATAGAAAACAAGAAGCAAATGCAAAATATAGAATCATTGTTACTGCAGTGATGTGTAAAGTATAAAATGAGTGTCCATTTTTGTTTGTTATAAATAGATGATATGGTGGGGGGGAAAAGATCATGGGAGAGGTTGTTTAGTTCCACGCATGCATGCAAGAGATGATCTGTGAGCGTAAAGTATGGTCAGTTATACTTTGACTAATTAATTGAAAAGAATATGAATGAATAGAATGAATTTTGTTTTAAATGTCAGATTTTTTTGGCTCTTTTCTTGGGATTTTCAAATTAGTAAGCTGCTCGTTCCTAGTTCTCTAAATTTGATAAAGTAAATAAATATATATTTTGATACCTGAATTTTTATTTAGATGTAATTATATATCTAATTTTTCATATAATTAGATATTTAAATTTGATTTTTAGGTTTATTTTGATGTCTAAATTTAATTTTGACCTAATTGATACTCGAACCTTACTCATTGATTCAAATTCTATTTTTTATCTAAACGGTTAGGGATTAACACAGGACCCGAATTTGACGGGTTATAATCTGACTCGATCGAGTCGGATTTTTAAAAAAAGTTAGATTCAGGTGGGGTTGAGTTTTTAAAAATATGTTCGGGTTGGGTCGGGTTTAGGGTGAAAAATACCCGACTCAACTTGAAAAATAATGTAAATTTACCTTATATATTTAGAAAAAATTGTAATAATAATCATATATATATTATTTTCTCAATTAGATCCCTATTTTAATTGAATAAAAATAATATTTTTTATAAATATATTTATTTCGAGTTTAGTTCGGGTTTTATCTCAAAAAGTCGGATTGAGTTTTCAGTCCGACTTTTCAGTGGAGAGTATATATTTTCGGGTCAGGTCGGATCAGGTTGATCAAAAACCCGACCCAACCTGACCCTTGTCCATCCCTAATCACAGTAAATGACTTACTTAAATCAATTTGAAGCATGAACCAAGCGACCTTGGTGGAGAAGAATTTGTTGTTATTTCTTGAGTTTCTGAGTTTGAGCGCCATGAATGCTAGGGGAATAAGCGTTCAATGCCAAATGATTGAGAGTTATCTCTGAATAGATATTATCTTGTACTTATTTCATATTAATAAAAAAATTAATTTAATCCATGAAATCAAGTTTAGGTACCAAATTGAACTTAAAGGTTAATTTTAATTATCTAATTGGATAAAAAAACTTTAGGGATCAAGTTAAACCTTAAAAGCAAGTTCAAATATTTAATTAGATCAAAATTTTCAAATATCAAATTACTGCTTAAAACTAAGTTAGGTGCCAATATACATATATCCTTGATCAAACTATAGTTATATTTCAATTTTCACAGAATGTCGCTCGAAGGAAGAGCTATTAGAAGGTATAATTATATTTTTTTCACTTAACATTTGCTTGTTTTTGTAATATTTTTCTTGTTGTTCTTTTACCGATCACAATTTTATTGTTATTATATTAATTTTATTAAATATTAAGTCATATGAAGTTAAACTTTTAATGAAAATGAATTAATTTATTATTTTTTAAAAATAAGATAATTATTTTATACTTTTTTATAGTGAGAAACTCAACAAAACCTGGAAATAAACATCTTGTTGGATGAGGATATAAACCTGAAAATTTATTATATACTAAAATTTATTTATTAGAGGAATCTATCCCAAAGCATGTTATGTGCTTTACTTGTAATTTTACAAACTTACAATTTTGATAAGTTCAAATGTTGGTCAAAATTGACAAGAGTTCAAATGTTACTACCAAAGAATTCATGTTGACAAGTAGTTATAATGGATACCAAATGTTACAAGTTGATTCAAGTTAGCAAGTTGATAAGTGGTCAACTTTTTTACATGGGAAAATTAATCTTTGGTCCTTAAATTATTAGGTTATTTGTAGGTTGGTCCTTAGAAATCAACTCTAAATAAGCCTAAGCATTCTCATTTGAAATCATCCAAAAAAACATCTCTCCCATTTGTTTTCTTAATTCTCCCACTTTGTAAAATTTTAGAAATTCTAACGAATTTCATTTGTTGTAATATTTTCTTAATAGTGAAGTTATCATCCGTTGGTGGTACCCGAGGAGTAGATGATATTTCGTTGAACCTCGTAAATTTGGTTCGTTCTCTCCATTATTGTTCTTTATTGAGTTTTTCTATTGTGTTTCAATATTCAATAGTTTGATGGGTTTATCTGATGTGCAACTTTGGTAGTTCTGATCTTGACATTTTAGATCGATTTTGAAATTACATTAATGTGGGAAATAACTGGATTTCCTCAACAATTAGTATCAAAGCTTCGATTGAGGTAATATGGTGGCCTCATTGCTGAAAATATCAAGTTCATGCAGTTGAATATTGTTCGTTGGCATTAAAATGAAAAAAAAATATGGATCAATTGAGACATTAAGTTCTTTATCCAAACCGGTGAGAAAGGTGATGTCAAATGCAAACTTCTCAGTAGAGTTATTCGATGGATCCGATATTTTGGCATGTGACAAGGTGACCTATTAGACGTTTTATTCCAACAAGGTCTAGACATCACCATTGAAGAAGAAAAGGTCGTAGATATAGAGGAGAAAGAATGGGAAACAATGAATCGTTTGACGTGCAACATGATTTGATCTTGTCTTTCCAAGGAGTAGAGGTATAGCTACAAAAACTAGACTTCCACAAGTAAGATGTTGAAAGCATTGGAGGAAAAATTCCTAAAGAAAAACTTTTACAATTGTCTTCACGTGAAGAAAAGATTGTTCGGATTTGATTACCAATCAGGAACTAGTATGAATGAACACATCATTGTCTTCAATGAGCTAGTGGCAGATTTATTGAGTATGGATGAAACTTTCAAATATGAAGATTTGGCTTTAATGTTTTTGTCATCTCTTCCAGATGAATTTGATAACTTTAAAATGATGTTACTTCATAGTAACCGTAAAGTTACTCTTAAATATGTAACCGTTGCTTTATATAGTTATGATCTTAGGAAGAAAACCAAGAAGAATAACAAGTATGGAGCAACGGAGGCCATTCTGGTAAGAGGTCGCTCAAAAAGTCAAAATTCAAATAGGAGAGGGAGATCAAAGTTGAAGTCCAAACTTAGAAAAGATGAATGTGTCTTTCTTCATGAGAAATACCATATAAGAAAGATTGTTCGAAGCTGAAGAAGAAAGAAAAATCTTCTCTAGATGTATGTATTGTAGATCATGATGTCAATAACTCTTATATATCATTTGTTGCTTCATCGTCATCATTTCATACATATGAGTTGATATTAGATTCTGGTTGCACCTATCATATGTCTCCTAATCGGGAGTGGTTCTCTGATTTAGTAGAACTAAATATAGGAGTTCTTTATATGGGCAACAATAATGCATGTAAAAATGTTGGGATAATTTCAATTCGATAAAAGAATCAAGATGGATCAATCAAATTTCTGATTGATGTCTGATACGTACCTAGATCAAAAAAAAATCTCTTCTCGTTGTGAGCCTCGGTGTAACACCCCAGCCCGTACTCAACCTGGATATGAGTCCGAGATGCCACATTGACTTTTAAAACAGTATTCTTATAAAATATCAAAACATTTGAACTCATATTAAGAAAATACAATAATATACTATTAAATTATGCTTCATTATAAAAATTTAAGGCAAAAATGTATTTATGAACAATACTATACGGTATGAACAGTACCATGAACAGTACCATGAACAGTGCTACAGTGCATCGATGCACTGCTATAGTACTGCTACAATGACTTTCGTAAAACATTCATAAAACTCGTAAAAATCTAAGCTTTCATCCGTATAAAATTTATCAATTTCATAGATGCATTTAAAACATTACAAAACTTAATCGTATGACTTTTCAAAACCGATTAGAACATATCGGATTTAATCCCTTATTTACATGCCAACCACTTTCCTTATTACAAAATACATATTATACATTTATGATCTGATATTTGGAAAGGAGGAACTGACCTGTCTTGCATAACTTTTATCAATCTTCCTCTTCTCAAAACCTACGTGTGAAACAATCACACGCTAAGTCGTTGACTTAGTGAGGCATATAAACATATAATAAAACTATAGAACATTTCTGTATATCATATAACACATTCATCATATCACAAAGAAACACACATAACATCATATAATTATGCAATTACCTTTGATAACCTTTTATAAGCCCATGTACATTATTGAGAACTTAAGGTATGTGAGTGCATTAAGGTTGTGCACTAATGTTGTCATCACAGCTCGTATGGGGTCCCACTAGGGGCATATGAAATTTGTTCCGAATGACCTATGTAATTGTCCATATATTCCGAAGAACATAGGTAAACTGTCCATTTGTTCCGTAGAATATAGGTAACCCTCAACTCTTGGCATGCCAACTATACCACTAGCTCTCATATCATATCACATGGGCATTATCATTTATACATTTCATATCACTTGTTCTTTCTCTTCTGTCACATACCACATGTATGTGTAACCATATATCTTATATCATATCACATGTATCACAAGTGCATGTATTCACGTAGATCATTTCATATGGCTTTTATCATTTCTTATTTGTTCATGTAAACTCGCATGTCATATCATATAACATATATCACATGTTACATTTTCACGTAATCATGTAAATCATGTAACATATAATAAAATACATAAATTTCTATGTACTAATGCACACATAATAATCACATAACATTTTATAAGTTACTTCTTACCATAGTAACTCTGTCAATGGCTCATTGCAAGCCAATGTTTGATCAATCACATAAGTACAATTTAAATTGCACTCACCTTAGTCTTGCTTTGATTCAATCCCAATTCTTTGATTATTTCGGAACTTGTTTAGGCTCAATGGAACTTGTTTAGGCTCAGTATCTACATAAACATAATTTTCAAGACGATTATCAGAAGCCTAAACCTTATAACTTGGTATGAATAACTTAGGCAAATTAATGAACCAAAATTCTATTTTTCCTTTAGGGGTGTATCAATG